CAATCTCGCTACCTCCCTCTCCCTCAATCTCTCTTCCTCCCTCCCTCCCTCCCTCTCACTCTCTCCCTCCCTCCCTCTTCAATCTCTCCCTCCCTTTCCCTCTCTCAACCTCCCCCCCTCTCTCTCAATCTCTCTCCCTCCCCTTTTCTCTTTCCTGCTCTCCCTCCCTCTCCCTCCCTCCCTCTCGCTCCCTCTCTCTCAATCTCCCTCCTGTTCTCTCACGCTCTCTCCCCCTCCCTCCCGCTCTCTCTCCTTCCCTCTCCCTCTCCATCCTTCTTGCTCCCTCCCTCCCTCTCCCTCCCTCCCTCTCCCTCTCTCAATCTCTCTTTCCCCATGTATATGCAGGCCCCCCACACACTAAAAGAAGTGCCTGCCAGACAGCTCCAGGAACCTCCCCCCCCCTCGCTGTTTTGTAGTCAAAGATGGTGGCTCCTCTCTTTGGCAAGGTTATTTGGGCCGGAGCCTGGGGACCGTTCCTGCCAGCGGCTATTTCATGTAATTGAGCCAGTGCCCGTTCGCCCTTATTAAAACCTTTTTTCTCCCCTTTTCCACCACCCCTCCCCTCCTCTCGCAGGCCAGGAAAATGATGCAGGCGCACCGTGCCAACTGGTTAAAGCCGGCAACCTTCTTTTGGATTTTGCAGAAGATTGTGCTGAAGCCGGGAGCCGACCCCATCCTCCTGAAACAAAATGTAAGTGGTGGTGGGGGCAGGAAACCCTTTGGATAAGGCAGTACACAAAGCTGGCCTGGGCAGTCGGCAAGAGCAAGGGAGCGTTACGTTAGCAAGCAACTAAACCATCCCATGTGGTGAGCAGATTTGGCGGTCTAATTTCCACGGAGCAGAAAAGCGGAATAAAAATTAATTGGTTTGGCCAGAGGGTTTGATGTCAGCTCTCTAATTACATTCTGTTTAAACTGGATCCAGCACAGGATAAGCAGCCTACGAGGTGTGTGTGTGTGTGTCCTTGGCTTACAACCACAATTGACCCCGCCGTTTCTGTTGTTAAGAGAGACATGGGAGAAGTGAGTTTTGCCCCTGTTCTACAAACTTTCCTTGACCCGGCGGTTAAGGGAATCACTGCCATGGATAAAAGTTAGTCAGCCGGTTGTTAAATGAAGCCGGCTTCCCTTCCCCTCCCCCTCCGCCCTTTGTCGGAAGGTCACAAAAGGGGATCACGTGACTTTGGGACACCGCAAAGGCCGTAAGTATGAACCGGTGGCCGAGCATCCAAATTTGGATCCTGCCGGCCATGTGGGGAGGCTGCAAAGGTCGTAACTTTTGAAAAGCGGCCGTAAGTCAGGGTGTTGTCGCAACCTTGAAAAAGGCAACACCGGAGCGCTCTTAATGCGATTCAGAGCCAAGAGGGGAAATGCTGATGTGCAACAGAGAACCTTTTGGAGGGTCCTGGCTGCTCTTTGAGCTTGCTGGTTTTCTGGCAGACGTTTCATTACCCTAACTAGGGAGCATCATCAGTGCAAGTGATGATGAGTGGGGTTTGCCCTGTGAGTTTTGGTGGGAGTGTTCTTGGTTCCTCGATTCAGAACTTTGAGCACTGATGGTATTACCTAGTTTGGTAATGAAACGTCTGCAAAAAAAAAACCCAACCGAACTCAGAGCACCAGGGACCCCGTTGTTGTTGTTTCTTCCTCCTCCTCTTTCTTTTCTTTCTTTTCTTCCCCCTTCCTCTTCTTTCTCTTCCTCTTTGTCCTTTCCTTTCTCCTCTTTTTCCTTTTCTTCCTTTTTCCTTCTCTTTCTCCTCCTCCTCCTCCTCTTCCTCCTTTCCTTTCTCCTCTTTCTCCTCCTTTTCCTTCTTTTCTTCCCTCTCCTCGTCCTCTACCTCCTCCTCTTCCTTTTTCCTCCTCCTCATCTCCACCAGCCTCACTCCCTTGTACTACTGGTGTTTTCTAGTTTAATAATGAGATGCCTTCAAGATAACAACTCTTAAGCTCACAAACCACCAGGGACCCCACAATCCTCCTCCTCCTCTCCATAAACCCGTCCCTTTTAGCAGTAATGACGTTACCTAATTTGGTCATGAAATGTCTTCAAGGAAACCACCAAGCTCAGAGGGCACCAAAGATGACTCCTTTCGACCCTGAGCTATGAATACTCTCTTCCATCCATAAGCCTTTGAGTTGCGGCCCCAGAGGCCTGTCGAATGGCATCGAGCAAGTTATTTACTTGGCCGTCGGGATAAAAATTGTGGGGGGGGGGGAACCTCCAGAGCATCCTTTGGAATCTCTCCGAGAAAAGCTAGGATTAGAAATAACAGGATTAAAATAATAATAATAATAATAATAATAATAATTATTATTATTATTATTATTATTGATAGCCATCGCTCAGAGCCATCAAGAAAGAGGGTTTATAATTACAAATATGTTACAAATATGTTCTGTTAATTTACAGAATTATAAACAAGATAATATAAAGAGAAATCTAGTTAAAATGACTTCGTTACACTATTATTATTGTCATTAGCATACACGTTAATATCTCTTGTTTCTTTCTTCTTGATTTTTTTGTAAATGATATGCCTTGACAATGCACTGTTCAAACTATTCAAACTGTCTGGATTTAAAAAAAAACATAAACTCAAAAAAAGAAGAAGAATTGATGGCCCTATCTCAGATGAGGAGGTAATTAGGACAATATTAGACTGTGGAGAGATAAACAAATTAACAGTAGCAATCAAGGAGAAAGACCAAATTGAGTACTGTATGGTATGGGAAACATTTTATCAATGGTTAGATAATAAAAGAGGAATTTGGAAGTGAAGAAGAAGAATAAAGGAGAACAGAAAATAGGATAAGATAAAGATAGGCATAAGATGATAATCTATATATATAAAAGCGAAATACCACTCACGCATCATCACAAAATGATTTGTAAGGCCTACAAACTTGAAATTTGGCACGTATCTTCCTCTTGGCTTCTAGGTGCTCACTAGGAAAGGATTTTTCGAAATGACTATCAGAGCATTTAGAATATTTCCTATATTATTAGTATTATTAACACACTCTGATGCTAAGGAGTTCTACTCCGCTTCCCCACCTGAAAAGAAATCTCTTCCAAATGCAAAACACAAGCAGTAGAGAGGAGTTTCAGTTTCACAGCACCAAGCAGCTTTAGTACAGAACAGTTGAGCTAAGCCACGCCCAGGCTCCTTGCTGCCTCCTTGCTCACATAGCAAATACTGTTTCAGTTTCCAAACAGCCCTCAACTCTCACACAGACAGGACGCTAGCCAGATGAATACCAATGGATGCTGGTAGACAGGCAGAATTTTTTTTCTCTTTATTTTCCTCTCCAAAAACTAAGCCCGACCACATAGTTTCATAGTGAACCACGGGTATCGAGCTAGTTGTTAATATACCTATATATATACCTTGTTTAGCTTTTTGATGAATCTTAATTCTAAGTTTAGAGAAATAATATTAATGTGAAGAAGTCGTAAATGGTGAAAAACGTAGCACAAAAGATGACACACTGTTTGAGAAAAAAAATGGAATGTATGTATTTTTGAAACTGAAAAATAAAAAACATTATTATATATATTAAAAGAAAGCTACAGCCATCAAACACGGCTCAACCGTCCGTTATAATTAAACAAGTCACTCGCTGGCATGTTTACACAAATCGCAAAGCAAAACCCAGGCCCCGTTGTGGTTTAACCTAACAGCCAACTCATATAAGCCTTGATTGGATTTGTTTGTCTTTGGCTCGGTGGCTCAGCCAACCAGACATTTTACAGCTTAATGTGTTGTCTGGAGGGAAGGTTCTGGTTGGGTGAAGTTTATTTATCTCTCTCTTTTTTCCCCTTAAATCTTCTTTTCCTGCCCTCAAGCTCTCAGAAAGCCTGGAACAGCAGCTGCTAGTAACCGAGCTTAAACGGATGCTCACTCTCTGTTTATCCAAGCAAAATGTCTGTGTGTCTATCTTAAACCTGGAAACCCAGCATTTAACCGAGTTTCTGCCTCCTCACCAGGTAAGGGCCAACCCCGTTCCTTGTGGAGAGAGAGGCCTGTCCTGTCAAAACGGCGTAAAATCCATTTTTCTTTGCTCTACAGGTAGTCCTCGAGTTATGGCCAGAATTGAACCGCGGATGTTCTGTTGCGAAGCGAGACTGGGGTGAAGTGAATTTTGTGCCCCGTTTCGCCTTGCTGCCGTTCTTAAGTGAATCCCAGCGGTGATTCAGTTAGGATCATGGGCTTTAAGTGAAGCTGGTTGGGAGGTCGCAAAAGGGCATCACATGACTCCTGGATGCGGCAGCTGTCGTAAATGCGAGTCAATTGCCAAGCGTCTGAATTCTGATCATATGACTGCAATGGTCATAAGTGTGAAAAGTGCTCATAGGTCACCTTTTTTAATGCCGTTGTAACTTCAAACAGTCACTAAGTGATCTTTCATAACTGGAGGACTACCTATAATATTCCCTGGTGTAGCTTTACTCCTACTTTAGGAACCCAGATAGCCCACAATGTTGTATTGACACTACAGGTTTTCCTCAATTTATGACCAAAGTTACGACGGGGTCTGCTTCCGGGTTCTTATCCAGATTCAAAGTTCCAGCGGCCGGGTCTCCACGGTCACATGACAACATGGCAGCCATTTTTCAGCACCCAAGAACTGTGTTTTTTACAACGCTGCTGCCAAAAATTGACTTTTATTCAGCAACCCCATTCTCTCAGTGATGAACCGTTGGTTTTCTTAGCGATTGCAGATTTGTTTAATGGCCCCCCCTTAAAAAAAGTAAAATCAGGTCGGTCACGGGACCGACCCATTTTACAACTGCCTCAATTTACGGCCGTGGTGGACAAGGCTGTATTACGGTTGTATGTTGAGGTCTGGTTGTAATGTCACAAGTTCAATCAACTTGGGTTGTGTGAAATGACTCATTGTTCAAGTTTTCCTAAACAATGGATACCCCCCATGAAGAATATGCTTCAAAGTCTTAATTCTGAGCAGAAGAATATTGTCTGCAATAAAATCCTTAATACAGATAGTCCCTGGTTTACGACAGTTGGTTTAATGACCGTTCGAAGTTACAAAGGCCAGGAAAAAAGTGACATAACCTTTCACATGACTTCATCATCATCATCATCATTGTTTAACGACCCCATAATCCCTTGTGGGATGGAGTAGAAACTGAATGAAGCTAGCTGAGTGTTTACTGGCCGGATGCCCTTCTTGTTGCCAATGCAGAGTTTTGTTCAGCAGATATATTCTCATTGTGCCCAGAGAGAGAAACATCTGCCTCTACCTACTATCGAACTCACAGCCTCCTGATTGTGAGGCGAGAGCTCCGCCTCTAGGCCACCACGCCACTCTCACACGACTCTTGATCACGTGATCAAAATTCAGATGCTTGGCAACTGACTCCTACTTATGGCGGTTGCAGTGTCCCGGGGCTCACCCGATTCCTCTTTTGCGACCTCCTGACCAGCAAAGTCAACGGGGAAGCCAGATCCACTTAACAACCATTGTTCCTAACTGAACAACCTCAGCAATTCACTGAACAGC